TAATGATCATGCGGTTTAATCAGCTTCTTCATATACCACACCTGTCAGGTAGATGGATTATCTTGGCAAAGGAGAAATACTCCCTAACAGGGATGTAAACAAATTTGTGCACAAAATGTGAAGGAAATCAAATTTGAGCGTATGGAAAAAGTATGGGATCTTTTATTTCAGCTCATGAAAACATGGGACCAATGTTTTACATGTTGCGTTTATATTTTTTGTTCAGTTTATTTCAGTGTTTTGTTGTAAACAGGATGCATATTTTGGAGTATGTTTTATTCTGTACAGGCTTCCGTCTTTTCACCCTGTCAATTAGGTTAGTATTGTGGAGTAACTACGTTGTTGTTGATCCATCCTCAGTGTTCTCCGATCACAGCCATTAAACTCTGTAACTGTTTTAAATTCACCATTGGCCTCATGGTGAACTCCCTGACCAGTTTCCTTCCTCTCCGGCAACAGAGTTAGGAAGGATGCCTGTATCTTTGTAGTGACTGGGTGTATTAATACACCATCCAAAGTGTAATTAATAACTTCACCATGCTCAAAAGGATATTCAATGTCAGCTTTTTTTTACCCATCTACCAATAGGTGCCTTTCTTTGCGAGGCATTGGAAAACCTCCCTGTTCTTTGTGGTTGAATCTGTGTTTGAAATTCACTGCTTGATTGAGGGACCTTACAGATAATTGTACGTGTAGGGTACAGAGATGAGATAGTCATTCAGAAATCATGTTAAACACTATTATTGCACACAGAGTCCATGCAACCTATTATGCAACTTAAGCCAATTTTTACTCCTGAACTTATTTAGGCTTGCCATAACAAAGGGGTTGAATACTTGACTCTAGACCCTTCAGCTTTCCATTTTTATTTAATATAAAAAAAATTCCTAAAACATAATTCCACTTTCATATTATGGGGTATTGTGTGTAGGCCAGTGACCAAAAATCTCAATTTAAATTCAGGCTGTAACAACAAAATGTGGAAAAAGTCAAGGGGTGTGAATACTTTTTGAAGGCACTGTAGACATGGTCCCGTAAACACGACCGAGCTTCAGGCTGCAGTTTGAAATCACAGACACACATTGTGGTATCAAAATAGGTTTTATTTTACATAATCGTACATTGTCAAACTTTTTGCATATAAATCTTTAAAAATAAGCCTTGATTTTATGAAAATTTTACAAAAGTAACATTCACAAAAACGTGTTAATTATTTCCATGACAAATTGAATTCCACCCTTTTCTGCATTCTCATTTAAACCCGCAACCAATGCCTTAAGAGAAAGATGATTGGTGAGATCAACTCGGTAAACCCGCTTTGTGTTACACTTCTCCAGAGTAGTTTCACTGTTAGTGGTGGTTAGTCTACTGAAGCGCCCTAGTAGCTTTACTCCCTTGTCATCTTCGCCTTCGAGTTTGACTGATTAAATATTTTCTTAAATAAAATGTTTTTTGGTGTGTAAAAAAATAGTAATGTTAATATACCAAAAAGCAAACTGACAGCCGCAACCAACCGTCCACAGACATATAATAGGATGGCAGTTCCCATTCAAGTCAAGACGGCCATTCCTAGTGTACCCATGAGTTTAACAGTACAATTGCCAGGGTCAGAGGTTCAAAACCCCTTCTATGGATTATAAATCTATGGCCAACACACAACAAGCTGTTCCACAGAAGGAGCGATAGGAGTGGGAAAAGGTGCTCGTGCATTGATAAGCACATCAAAGACGGCATTAACGACAAGTATTAAAGTAAAGACTGCACTTCTAAAAAGCCTGTTTCACACCCTAGCCTGCTGAATTTGCAAATCACTTTCCTTTCATTTTGATTCCGGCACAAATGAAAATGTGGCACTGACTCGCGCCTATGGATTGTTTCAGTATTGTCTCATTGAAGAGTTTGGCACTCGACTAGCCATGTGCAACATGCACAGGCATTTACAAGCCTGCTAGAGTTAGCTGCAGGCGGACAAGCAATAACCACCGCCGTAGTATGGATGATGCCTGAGCTGTAATGTGAAGCTAATTGAAGCTGGCTAGCTTTATAAAAGCCTGAGTAGATCTAGCTTGCTTCATAGTATACCACTCTGAAATGAATTCTGTATCATGTGTAAGCCTGTCAATTCCTACGCCTGTAATTTCTGAGCCTGAGGGTGGCACCACAGCCATTCTGTATAAAGAACCATATCCAGATATACAAGCCATATAGATAGATGGATATACAGTGCATTCGGAAAGTATTCAGAACCCTTCTTATTCCACATTTTGTTATGTTGCAGCCTTATTCTAAAATGTATTAAAATACATTTGTTCCTCATTATTCTACACACAATACCCCATAATGATAAAGTGAAAAGAGGTTGTTAGATTTTTTTGCCATGAAAAAATTGAAACAGAAATACCTTATTTACATAAGTATTCAGACCCTTTGCTATGAGACTCGAAATTGAGCTCAGGTGCATCCTGTTTCCATTGATAATCCTTGAGATGTTTCTACAACTTGATTGACGTCCATCTGTCTATATAAAAGGTCCCACAGTTGACAGTGTATGTCAGAGGAAAAACCAAGCCATGAGGTCGAAATAATTGTCCATGGAGCGCCGAGACAGGATTGTGTCGAGGCACAGATCTGGGGAAGAGTACCAAAACATTTCTGCAGCATTGAAGATCCCCAAGAACACAGTGGCCTCCATCATTCTTAAATGGAAGAAGTTTGGAACCACCAAGACTCTTCCTAGAGCTGGCCGCCCGGCAAAAATGAGCAATTTGGGGAAAAGGGCCTTGGTCAAGGAGGTGACCAAGAACTCGATGGCCACTCTGACAGAGCTCCAGAGTTCCTCTGTGGAAATGGGAGAATCTTCCAGATGGGCAACCATCTCTGCAGCAGTCCACCAATCAGGCCTTTATGGTAGAGTGGCCAGACTGAAGCCACTCCTCAGTAAACGGCACATGACAGTCCGCTTGGAGTTTGCCAAAAGGCACCTTAAGACTCTCAGACAATGAGAAACAACATTCTCTGGTCTGATGAAACCAAGGCTGAACTCTTTAGCCTGAACGCCAAGCGTCACGTCTGGAGGAAACCTGGCACTATCCCTACGGTGAAGCATGGTGGTGGCAGCATCATGCTGTGGGGATGTTTTTCAGCGGCAGGGACTGGGAGACTAGTCAGGAGCGAGGGAAAGATGAACGGAGCAAAGTACAGAGAGATCCTTGATGAAAACCTGCTCCAGAGCGCTCAGGACCTCAGACTGGGGTGAAGGGTCACCTTCCAACAGGACAACGACCCTAAGCACACAGCCAAGACAATGCAGGAGTGGCTTCAGGACAAGTCTCTGAATGTCCTTGATAGCCTAGCAGAGCCCGGACATTAACCTGATAGAACATCTCTGGAGAGACCTGAAAATAGCTGTGCAGCGACGCTCCCCATCCAACCTGACAGAGCTTGAGAGGATCTGCAGAGAAGAATGAGAGAAACCTCCCAAATACAGGTGTGCCAAGCTTGTAGCGTCATACCCAAGAAGACTCAAGGCTGTAATAGGTGCTTCAACAAAGTACTGAGTATAGGGTCTGAATACTTATGTTAATGTGATATTTCAGTTTAATATTTGTAAGAAATTTGCAAACATTTCTAAAAACCTGTTTTTGCATTGTCATTATGGGGTACTGTGTGTAGATTGATGAGGAAAAAAACAAAATTGAATCCATTTTAGAATAAGGCTGTAACGTAAAAATAAAAATCTGAATGCAGTGTACATGTGTACTGTATTATCAGTATGGCTCTGTCTGAGTAGGTCACTAGTCACCTGAAGCGCTTTCCTGAGAGTCAACACTAACGCTAGCTCTCTACCTACTAGTACTAACTCATACTACCAACACTACCTAGGGCTTTTCACACTACTGAGCCTAGCTGAGCCAAATCAAGCTGTACTGAGCTAGCAGACGTACAGTGTAGTGGTTCCAGGCTAACAGTCAACAGCCCTTATATTAGTAGTCCAGTATTCCCTACTGGAGGTGTTTCAAAGTAAAAAGACCGATAATAAGGGCAGTGTCTTTCTGCCAGCCAGTTTAAGCTGATCCTAGATTTGATTAGATTAGATGTTTAATTAAGCCCAGACTCAAACAGAGAAACAACTTATCCAACAGCTATTCCACTGACGCTAGATTCCCAACTGAAACTACACACCTATACTACACTACTCAGCAGCCCTTTAGCTAAGAATGCCAATGCAAGCCACTCCTCTCACAGCCCTTAGTCCCATTAAAGAACAGAGTTAACTCCACTCTCTTCGTCTCACCAGAGGTTATATTGAGGTTCTAAGAAAAGTTCTAAGGTGTTCCACCAGGTGTATGTGCTTTTAACGGAGGTCCAACCCATGTGTGCTGACAGATAGACAGACTGAGGGTTGTAGTGTCTCACTGTCCTGGCTCAGTTAGATCTGCTCTGGGGTTAGAGTGGAGCATGGGCTCATATACACCTCTCACACACACACACACACACATACACACACACACACACACACACACAGTGTCAGTAAACCCACCCCCAATTGGAATCAGATCAGACCCTGAACCACTTTAGTTCAGAATTAGTGTCGCCTTCTTCACATTCCAGTTAAGCAAAAAAATAAAAATAAAATCACAGACAGTAAGGCTCAAATGAATGCTCAAGTCAAACATAAAACAATTATTTTGCATAAAGAAACCAACAACAAAAATCATTAATTTCCAAAAAGCAAAGCCAAGAGTTGCATCCGATGCAAAGCTGCACATGTAGAACAGGGCAACTGGGAGCCACCTGACTGACTAAATCCAGCCCATATATCAGCATTAGTGCCTCAACTTATCCTTCCCACCGACTGCCTGCTCAACACAGTTGTAGACAGACCGCTCACTATCCCTCTTTCCTTCTCTCTCCACCAGCTCACCGCTGGGGGGATCCCCCCCCCCCCTCTACCTCCCTCCTCTCTCACCCCTTTCTCTCCCCCATCCCTCTATCCCAATCCCCCCCTTTCTCTCCCTGGCCGATATAATTAAGACTAAAGCATTACTCTTACACACCCCACTGAGGGGAATGACGCCTTACACATTCCACTGTCCTTCAAACCCCTCCACTGACAGACAGACAGCTAGTCTCGGGTCTTAGTGTCCATCCTGTTCAGAGCCTTTTGGGGGCTCAGGGTCCTGGGTATTGGTAGGGCTGTGTCCGTCAACAAACATGTTGGGGATGTCCTGGCCGAAGTAGATCTTACTGTTGGCTGCTATCGCCTGATACTTCATCAACTCCAGGTACTCTGGGGTTAATTTTAACTGAAGAGATGGGAGAGATGATGTCAGTGTGTGTGTGTGAATGTGTGTGTGTGTGTGTGTGTGTGTGTGTGTGTGTGTGTGTGTGTGTGTGTGTGTGTGTGTGTGTGTAAGTGTGTGCGCACACACACACACACACGTGTCTTACCCCATTAGCTTCAGCAAACTTAGCAGCTGTGTAATACTCTGCATCAGCCCTGGCCTTCATTTTAGCCAGGAATGCAGTGTCTGAAATACACAGAGTTAATACATTTATATTCACACACACACACACACACACTCTTTCATAACTAACCTTGTGGGGACACACAATTCAGTCCCATTAAAAATCATATTTTCCCTAACCATAAACCTAGCTCCTAACCCTAAAACTAACCCTAGCTCCTAAACCTAATCCTAATTCTAACCCTAAACCTAATTCTAACCTTAACCCTAAACCCTCTAGAATTAGCATTTACCTTTTTGGGGACTAACAAAATGTCCCTAGTTGGTAAAAAAAAGCTGTAGCGGTCATGAAATTGTCAGCTGGTGATTGTCAAGCAAATAACTGTCGGTCTCACGGTTAATTAACTTAAATACATTTAGCATCTCCTGGCTTCCACACAGCCTAAAAGCCACTGGTGCAGACCTTTGGAACATCTACATTTAAAAAAGTCTAATAAATCCATGTAATATAGCCTACAGCTTCACAATAAATCCATTATTTATTTTAGACAGGTCTAAAGAAGCATGATATGAAGAAAATGAAGTATATTTCAAAAGAACAGAACAGCATACTCTTATGTTAGGCCCTGATCTGGCTATGCCAAATTGCTTTGGGCTACAGTTCATTTAGCAGACAAGATTTGCTTAAAATTCCATGGCATTATTTTATATTATTTTATAGTATGAAGAATACAATTCAACAAAGCTGAATAAAATAAAATGATATTTTCTTCAAACGATTTGAGGGAGTGCGCACATGCGGCTATTCTGTGTTGAGCGGTTAACAAATAAATAAGTACTCCTATATGCTTAATTTAGAGTTATTAATGTAACTTTAGTTGTTCTACAAACGTTGGGCTATATGTTTTGATTTTTAATACTGTGATGTCACGAGAGGCTGTGTCCTGGAGGGACGTTACATCCCCCTGAGGTGGCTGCAAACCCAGACAGCTATGGCTCCATCTGCTGGTATGGTCGGGAACTCCACCCCTCTATGGCCAATCTTCCCACGCAGCTGAAACAAATCAGGAGCTGATGAGCTGAAGGTTTTGGGAAGGGAAGAGACACACTGAGGGGGTGTGTGGGGGGTGAAGAAACACAGTCTCCAACCTGGGCTCTCTGGAGGACAAGAGTGCTGCACGTCCACTTCCAGGAGGAATATAAGGATTTGGAGATACTTACCTTTGGGAAATACTCACCTTTGGATATATGCACCTGTGGAAATACGTGAGAGACATTTGGAAGGACTTTTTGCTGGGTTGGCCACTAGCTGCAACGTGGACTACAGTAAGGCTGGGGAAAAGTTATCTGAGCGAGTGAGAATTATGATTTTGGATGTGGAAGAGACATCCCTGAACTGTTAACCCTTAAAGAGCCACAAGAGAACAGAATTTTGTTATATTTTCGTTAATTTCCCAAGACCTATAATAAAATCCTTGTTTTGTTTGAACCTTGTCTCCTTGCACTACTTGAGCAACCCCGCTGAAAGCTGTGTAGCCTCTCGTGACGTCACAGATGGTGGAGAATACAGGCAACTCAAGCGTTAATAGTGCATGTCAGAGGAGGATACCGAAGGTTTGATCACCCAGTTCCAAGTTGGCCGTAGGCTCCCCGCCGACTGAAATGGAGGACATATTGAAAGCCCTTGTTGCTGGCCAGCAAGCCCAGATGCAAGCAAACGTGGCTCTCTTGGAGGAGCAAAAGAAAGCCAACCTTCTGAAGGCAGAGGAATTGCAGTTGCAGAGACAGAGGGTTGTCCAAAATACCCGCCCAATAAAGGCAAGTGACTTCATATCTAAGATGGGAGCTACCGATGACATTGAGGCATACCTGCATGCATTTGAGGCCACGGCCACTAGGGAAGCCTGGCCCAAGCAACAGTGGGTTGGTCTGTTAGCCCCCTTTCTAACCGGGGAATCGCTGAATGCTGTCCGGGACCTGGGCCCTGACCAGGTTACTGACTATGATGCCCTGAAGGCTGAGATCCTCAGCAGATATGGACTCACAAAGTTTGGTATGGCCCAGCGCTTTCACAGCTGGACCTTCCAACCAGACCAACCTCCTCGGGCGCAGATGCATGAACTTGTCCGAATCGCAAGGAAATGGCTGGATCCGCAGAGGAATACAGCAGCGGCGGTGGTGGAGGCCGTTGTGGTGGATCGTTACCTACGCGCCCTGCCTTATGAGGCAAAACGGTTCATCAGTCAACAGGCCTTGACCACGGCTGATCTGACCGTGGAAGCTGTGGAAAAGTACCAGGCCACAGCGGAGATGCTGAATGCTTCCCGAAAAGACCCCAGGAGTGCGGCCCCACCACAAATGGGAAGAACCCGTCCAAAGGACCCCAAGGTCTCGAACCCAGCCACGTCAGGACTTATCCCGGCTCCAGGGGGAGCCAGAAACCAGGCGGGTCCAAGAAGAGTACACCAGGAGGGGGAAACTCGACAGTGTTACCGGTGTGGGGAGATGGGACATATCTCCTGGCAGTGTGGGAAACCAGCCGATGAACCTATGCCCACTGCGGAGTCCTCCAGCTCAGCACCCACACCCCGTTTTGCCTCGCTCTTGGGAGTCGTAGATGGCGGCCCAGATCGACCCCCCACCTGCCCGGTAACTGTGAATCACCATGATGTGGAGGCCTTACTGGATTCTGGTAGCCGGGCCACCCTGGTGCGTAAGGATTTGGTGGGCCCAACGTGTCTGACCCCGGGGAAAGTCCTCCCAGTTTCCTGTGTCCATGGGGACACCAGAGAATACCCCATTACGGAACTTACAATGACCAGCACACGGGGAACCATACACACGACGGCGGGGGTGGTTGATTCCCTCCCCGTCCCTGTCCTAATTGGACGAGACTGCCCAGCCTTTTACCCACTCTGGAGAGAGTCTCAGGAGAGGATAACCCGAGTACCTCGGAAACGGAGAGGCAAGACTCATCCTGGGAAGGCTCCGGTGCAATCCTCCGAGTTACTCACTCCCGCCCGGGCTCTGATAGGGATGGCAGGTGCCCAGACCGACACCGAGACTGGTCCGGATACGGGAGAAGAGAACGCAGCCCAGGAAAGTGCTCCGTTCTCCAGTGAAGAAGACGTCCCAGGCACCCAAGAGCTTCCCCCTCTCACAGGCCAGTATGGTACGGCTCAACTACAAGATCCTACTCTTGCAAATGCCTTAAGAAATGTGCAGGTATTAGGAGGTGTAGTGTTAGGTGATAAGACAAACCCTACTTACCCCCATTTCGCAGTAAACCGGGGGTTAGTATATCAGATAGTCAAGAAAAATGATGAAGTGCATGAACAGCTCCTCGTGCCACAGCCCTATCGGGCCACAGTACTCAACCTAGCCCACACACACCCGCTAGGGGCCCACTTGGGGGTAGAGAAGACTAAGGAAAGAATCATGCAACGTTTCTTTTGGCCAGGAGTACACAAAGAGATAGAGAACTACTGCCGTAGTTGCCCTGAGTGTCAGCAGGTTGCGCCAAAGCCCACATATAGAAACCCGCTCATTCCCTTGCCCATTATCGAAACTCCTTTTGAGAGGATTGGATTAGACATAGTCGGGCCCTTACCGAAAAGTTCCAGGGGACATCAATACATTCTGGTCATTCTGGACTATGCATCCCGGTACCCGGAGGCCATTCCGCTGAGGAAGGCTACATCCAGACAAATCGCCAAGGAGCTGTTCCGTCTCTCAACTAGTCTGGGAATCCCAAAAGAGATATTGACGGACCAAGGGACTCCATTCATGTCCAGGGTGATGAAAGAACTCTGTGCTTTACTGAAAATCAAACAGCTGAGAACCTCGGTCTACCACCCCCAGACAGATGGCCTAGTCGAACGTTTTAACAAAACACTAAAATCCATGCTGCGGAAAGCGGTAGGGGAAGATGGGCGCAACTGGGATCAGCTGTTACCATACATATTATTTGCGGTGAGAGAGGTACCTCAGTCTTCTACTGGTTTTTCACCCTTTGAGCTCTTGCTTTCCTACAGACCCAGAGGACTGCTCGACATCGCCAAGGAGGCCTGGGAGGAGCAGCCATGCCAACAGCGGACACTGATCGACCATGTCGGGGCTATGAGGGAGAGAATGAAGGCCATCTATCCCATGATGCGGGAACACCTGGAGGCCAGTCAGCGGCAACAGCAAGCCTCCTACAACAGATCTGCTCAACCCAGGGAGTTTAAGCCGGGGGACAGAGTGCTGGTCCTGGTGCCAACCGTTGAGTGTAAATTCCTGGCAACCTGGCAAGGACCATATGAGGTCATTGAACGCATGGGAGAAGTAAACTACAAGGTGAGGCAACCAGATAAAAGAAAAACTGAGCAGATTTATCATGTTAACCTTTTAAAGAAGTGGCACGCCAGAGAGGCGATGTTCAGCTGTCTACCCCCCACAGAGACCAAGGAACCGGCGCGAGAAGAGGTTCAGCTGGGTCCAAATCTGTCCCCACATCAACGACAGATGGCCCTGGAACTCGTGGAGCAGAACCAGGATGTCTTCTCCTCCCTTCCCGGTCACACAGAGGTGGTCCAACATGAGATCCGCACCATGCCTGGCCGAACGGTAAACCAGCGCCCGTACCGCGTGCCAGAGGCTCGTAAAGTGGTTATACAGAAGGAGGTAAGGAAGATGCGGGAGTTGGGAGTAATCGAAGAGTCCCACAGTGCCTGGGCAAGTCCCATCGTACTAGTTCCCAAGCCAGACGGTTCAGTACGATTTTGTAATGACTATCGAAAGTTGAATGAAGTGTCTGAATTTGATGCATACCCAATGCCTCGTGTCGATGATTTAATAGACTCCTTGGGGCATGCTCGTTTCCTAACCACTCTTGATCTCACAAAAGGCTACTGGCAGGTGCCCCTGACCCCGGCGTCCAAGGAGAAGACAGCCTTTGCCACCCCGGAGGGGCTCTACCAGTATACCCGACTTCCGTTTGGTCTCCACGGGGCACCTGCCACGTTCCAACGCCTGATGGATCGAGTCCTTGCGCCCCACAAGAGGTACGCAGCGGCTTATTTGGATGATGTTGTTATACAAAGTCCGGATTGGGCCAGCCACATACCCCGGGTACAAGCGGTGCTGGATTCGCTCAGGGAAGCAGGGCTCACGGCAAACCCGAAGAAGTGCAAGCTGGCCTTCAGTGAGACAAACTACCTGGGGTACACCATTGGGCGGGGGTTGGTCAAACCACAGGAAGCCAAACTGCGGGCCATACAGGACTGGCCGCAGCCCATCACCAAGAAGCAAGTAAGGTCATTTTTGGGCCTCGCTGGCTACTATAGACGCTTTATTGCAGATTTTGCTACCATAGCTGCACCGTTGACGGAGCTGACGACCAAACGCCACTCACGAATGGTGAAGTGGAACCCTGCGGCGGAGGCGGCTTTCCTCAACCTGAAGCGAGCACTCTGCTCCAGTCCGATCCTGGTGGCACCAGACTTCAAGAAGGAATTCATTGTCCAAGCGGATGCTTCGGAGGTGGGTCTGGGTGCTGTCCTCACCCAGGCACATGACGGTGAAGAACATCCCATTCTCTACCTAAGCAGAAAGTTACTTCCAAGAGAGAAGAACTATTCAACGGTGGAGAAAGAATGTCTGGCTGTAGTCTGGGCCCTGGAGTCCCTTCGGTTCTATCTCCTGGGCCGACGTTTCATGGTGGTATCTGATCACGCCCCTCTGCAGTGGATGGCCAAGAACAAGGAATCAAACAGTAGAGTAACCAGATGGTTTTTGAGCTTGCAACCGTTTAACTTTTCTGTTGCCCACAGGGCTGGCAAGCACCACGGCAATGCGGACGCCCTCTCCCGGCGTGATGCCTTCTTCGCTGCCTTTACCCCGACGAGGACGTCGGTCCCGAGGAGGGGGATGTGTGATGTCACGAGAGGCTGTGTCCTGGAGGGACGTTACATCCCCCTGAGGTGGCTGCAAACCCAGACAGCTATGGCTCCATCTGCTGGTATGGTCGGGAACTCCACCCCTCTATGGCCAATCTTCCCACGCAGCTGAAACAAATCAGGAGCTGATGAGCTGAAGGTTTTGGGAAGGGAAGAGACACACTGAGGGGGTGTGTGGGGGGTGAAGAAACACAGTCTCCAACCTGGGCTCTCTGGAGGACAAGAGTGCTGCACGTCCACTTCCAGGAGGAATATAAGGATTTGGAGATACTTACCTTTGGGAAATACTCACCTTTGGATATATGCACCTGTGGAAATACGTGAGAGACATTTGGAAGGACTTTTTGCTGGGTGTTTGGCTACTAGCTGCAACGTGGACTACAGTAAGGCTGGGGAAAAGTTATCTGAGCGAGTGAGAATTATGATTTTGGATGTGGAAGAGACATCCCTGAACTGTTAACCCTTAAAGAGCCACAAGAGAACAGAATTTTGTTATATTTTCGTTAATTTCCCAAGACCTATAATAAAATCCTTGTTTTGTTTGAACCTTGTCTCCTTGCACTACTTGAGCAACCCCGCTGAAAGCTGTGTAGCCTCTCGTGACGTCACAATACATTGTAAAGCTGCATGATGCAACTATAATGATGATTTGAAAAAAGTCGCTTGAAAGGCATGAGCTCTGCTTTGTTTTTTGCGCTGGCTGTACACACTTCATCAGTCTCTCATTCACAATTTGACATCACTTGATAATGCCTCGAATTTCACGGCTGCATCCTCTTTGTGTGGCCATAATGCACCCCCAAAAAATCCATGCCTTTTGCAACCAGTGGCCGTTGTGCCCTTGGCCCGGAGTGCTGCGTTGTGCCAGTCTCTGTGAGTGCTGCATGCTCTGAAGCACCTCTCACTCACATGGCTCTCCATCACGTGATCGGGTCTTTCTCACAGGCTACAAGTGAAGACAGACATCTGCACGCGTCCTTATCCAATTCCGACGGGCATATTGAGGATATTGGAAGAACTGTTCACATTTACTTTTCGTCTGCCAACAGAATGAGTAGGCCTAACGAACAGCAAAAGTACTAGCCTATGTCAATCTACTATCCCCCATAGTACAAAAGTTGACCTATTCTATTCTGTGCAATAAATAAATATTCCAAACATAGTCTGGGACAGTTGTGGGATGCAATAGATCCCAAAGTAATACAACCACTAGCATAAAAAAAAATGTTTTTACGCAATGTGGCTGATGCAACAGACCAGAACGTTTAGCTTAAAATGTTGATAACCTATTAGGCTCTCTATTCAAATTAAATCTCAGCAATGCGCACACTGCAGTAGGCTATAAGCGCGAATGTTCCATTAGCGGAAAAACACCATTATCAAAAGAGATCGCAAATGTGATTACGCATGTAATGCTTTTATTATAAAAGGTGCATTTGTATGGTGAACATTATCTTCCCCAAACTTGAAACGTATGTATGCCAGTTAGGCACTACACCCCTTCTAAAGCGGATTAATGTTATTTGGCCACTTTAGTTGTGATACAAACCTTATCAAAACATATAGGCCTATGGGCTAGGCTAGATGAGGTGTGCGACTATGATTTGAAAAAGTTATGCTGGGAATCATTCACAAGTGAAAATATATAATTCACAAGTGATAGGCTAATATTGTCACCCATCAGACTATTACATTTACATTTACGACATTTAGCAGACGCTCTTATCCAGAGCGACTTACAAATTGGTGCATTCACCCTATAGCCAGTGGGATAACCACTTTACTTTTTTTTTTTTTTTTTTCTTGTCTTACATATACTAAATAATATGTGTGAAATTTGTTTTCATTTAGAATGGACCATTTTCATGCAACTGTCTCGACACAGGGACAGAGGAAAAAATACATGTAATCTATGCACTTAAATAGCGAATGGAGGACGCTTTTCCTGAGGTTCATTTTCATGCCAGCCAGGTAGGATATACTCCTGTTGTAAAGAGAAGCAATGTGCTTAATATTAGGAAGTTGAGAAATAAATATAGTAGGCCTAGCCTATAGAAAGCTGATGGGATCCTCCTCTTTTTAAGAGGCCATCACTCTGTTTTCTTGCGCAATTGCATAGCCTATAGAAATGTTGCGCAACACGAGCACATGGGCTCTCATTAAGTGTTTGATTAGATTTTCGATTACATTTGCATTGATGTCAGAGTGATTAGAGGGACAATAGAGTGCCGAGTACCAGGCAGTTAGCAAGTTTGGTAGGCTACTAATGACCATCAGCACCATCAGAGCATGGAGAAGCATTATTACCGTGACTAAACCGTTCACGTGGAATTTGACTGCCTTCATGACTCGTGACCGCAGGTATGGCGGTAATACGGTCACTGTCAAAGCCCTACCCACAAGTATAGTTCGTTAAACATGTCCACACACACACACAGTGACTGACCCTCTATCTCAGAGATCCTCTTCTCAGTCTCTTTCTCCATCACCTTCTGTTGAAAATGAATCTGTGCTACCTCGGCCACTTTCTGAGCCTCTGAGAAAAAGAAAGAATGTGGGCGGTGGGGAAAGAAGGAGATAGGAGAGAGAGAGAGAAGAGTGCATAGTGTTACAGTGTGACAGGAGTACAAGTTACAACCTGTATCGTAACCTAGCTCCATATATTTTAGATGTACGGGTTGTTTTCAGATACCTACAGTATACAACCGGTGGTGTATGAGAAAGAGGAGTGTTGCTAGGTTACCGATAATGGCTTTCTTCCTCTCGGTCTCGGCTTCCTTCTCCACGACCTTCTGAGTCTGAACTGTTATCAACAGACGAGTCTTCTCCGCCTCCCTACACACAGAGTGAGAGAGAAGCTTACACACACACACACACACACACACACACACACACACACACAGTGAGAGAGGGTTACTCAAAGAGAGAGAAGGAATGGGAAATAAAGAGATGGAATGAAAGAAAGATAGATAATGAAAAGAGAACGAAAGATAAGAGAAATAGAGAGAGAAAGAACAAAGAAAAAAAAAAGGAGTGAGAGAGAACACTCACATGAGCTCAAAGTTTCTCCTGATGGCCTCTGGGATTTTGGGCTTAGTGACTCGGACAGCCTGGAACATAGAGACACACTCAGTATACACAAACCAGGGCCATGTTCAGTAGCCAAACTTTGTCTTGTAAGTACTCAGCTCGAGCAGGCACGCTCCTACATGCTAACAACGCTGCAGGAGATGAAGTTCAAATGAGACTTTTTAAACTTTCGGTGATGTATCTCACTTCTTGAGCACCAAATATTTTTATAAAAGGCATCGGGTATGAGTAAATCAATACACAATTACGAATATATATCTTAAATGACCGCATTTTCATGAATTTGATGATATAATTTTGAAGCCTATTCAAAAGACCCGGACATGACCCCAGAAGAATGACGTAGGATGACATCACTTGCACACCGTATTCTACATGTCAGAGAGGCATGATTGTTCTACAATGAACGAAAATATGAATGCAACATGTAAAGTGTTGGTCCCATGTTTCACGAGCTGAAAAAAAAAAGATCGCAGACATTTTCCATACATCCAAAAAGCTTATTTCTCTCAAATGTTGTGCACAAATTTGTTTACATCCCTGTTAGTGAGCATTTTCTCCTTTGCCAAGATAATCCATCCACCTGACAGGTGTGGCATATCAAGAAGCTGATTAAACAACAATCATTACAGGTGTACGTTCTTGTGCTGGGGACAATAAAAGGCCACTCTAAATTGTGCAGTTGTCACACAACACAATGTAATTAGGCTTCTCCTTCTCCTGCTGATGGTCATTAGTAACCTAAAAAACTTGCTAACTGCCTGGTACTCAGCACTCTATTGTCCCTCTAAATCACTCTGACATCACTGCAAATGTATTCGAAAATCTAATCAAACACTTCATGAGAGCCCATGAGCTCATGTTGCGCAACATTTCTATTGGCTATGCAATTGTGTGAGAAAACAGAGTGATGGCCTCTATTAAAAGGAGGATCCCATCAGCTTTCTATAGGCTAGGCCTACTATATTTATTTACTTTCCTAATATTAAGCACATTGCTTCTCTTTACAACAAGAGTATAGCCTACCAGGCTGGCATGAAAATGAACCACGGGAAAAGCGTCCTCCATTTGCTATTTAAGTGCATAGATGACAAGTATTTCGAGACAGGTGCATGATAAATGGTCCATTCTAAATCCCCCAAAAATTTCACACATATATTATTTAGAATATGTAAAGACAAGATTAAATCAAGAATAGTCTGATGGGTGACAATATTAGCCTGTCACTTGTGAATGACGTCCAGCTTAAGGCAAGAAACAGTGCATGACTTTTTCAAATTATAGTCGCGCACCTCATGTAGCCTAGCCCATAGGCCTATATGTTTGATAAGATTTGTATCACAACTAAAGTGTCCAAATTACAAATTAAAATGAAGCACATTAATCCGCTTTACAACAGGTGTAGAGCCTAAATGGCATACATCCGCAGCGCGTGAGCTTCATGTTTGGGGAAGATAATTCACCATAAAAATGCACCGTTATAATAAAAGCATTAAATGCATAATCGCATTTGCAGTCACTTTTGAGAATGGTTTTTTCCTGCTAATGGAACAGTTGAGCTTATAGCCTACTGCCGGGTGCACATTGCTGCACTTATAATGTGAAGAAATAGCCTAATAGTTAATTAACATTTCAAGCTAAACGTTCTGATCTGTTGCGTCAGGCTCATTGCTTAAAACAGTTTTTTTTTTTATGCTAGTGGTTGTATTAATTTGGGATCTATCGAATCCCACAACTGTCCCAGACTATGTTTGGAATATTTATTTGTTGCACAAAATAGGTCAACTTTTGTACTATGGGGATTGACATAGGCTAGTGCTTTTGCTGTTCATTAGGCCTACTCAACTTGTTGGCTGACGAAAAGTAAATGTGGACAGTACTTCCAGTATCTTCAATATGCGCCTCGGAATTGAATAAGGACGCGTGCAGTTGCGTCCCCGATGTGTCTGTATTCACTTGTAGCCTGTGAGAAAAACCCGATCATGAGACCGAGAGCCATGTGAATGAGTGGTGCTTCGGTACTCAGCCAGGAGAAGGGAATTATAATATTCAGCCCAAATTGTGAATGAGAGACTGATGAAGTGTGTACAGCCTGCACAAAAAAAAAAGCAGAGCTCATGCCTTTCATGCAACTTTTTTCAAATCATCGCATCATGCAGCCTTAGAATGTATTAAAAATCACCCACAGCCATATGGCATATTCAGGTCCTAACATAAGGACAACTCAGAGTATGCTGTTCTGTTCTTCTGAAATAGACTACATTTTCTTCATATCATGTTTCTTTAGACTCGTCTAAAATAAATAATGGATTTATTGTGAAGGTGTAGGCTATATTACATTAATTTATTAGACTTGTTAAAATGTACATGTTCCAAAGGTCTGCATCAGTGGCTTGTAGGCTATGCGTGGAAGCCAGGAGATGCTAAACGTGTTCATTAACGGTCAATTACTGTGAGACCGGCAGTTATTTGCTTGACAATCACCGGCTGACAAAATTTTATGACCTCCACAGCCCTAGTCAGGGTCAATTCCAATTTAATTCAGTCAATTCAGGAAGTAAACTGAAATTACAAATACAATTTTGCTGAATTGGCTGAATTGGAATGGACCCCAAACCTGGTGTTTGTGTGTATATAATTGACCCCAACGCTAGTGTGTGTACCTGTATTGTCAGTCCAGGCGCCATTGAGTTGAGGTCTTTCTGCAGAGCGATCTTCAGGTTCTCATCAATAATGTCTGACAGCCCGAGACACAGGAGGGCAACAAGAGTTACACTGGGCATCTACACTGATGTACAGAAGTGTCTTAACTGCTATAGAATTGAGTGAGTGTGTGTGTACTCACCAAACAGCTCGATGTAGACCTCCTGTAGAGTGTGTACGCTGCAGAATTGGTTGAGTTCATGGTGAATCTTGTTGAAAATTAGAGTTTTGTCATAATCAGCTGTATAGTTCTTTACTGTGTCCACCACTGTGAAGTGAGAACGAGAGAGATTAGTATACACTAGCAAAGTAGAAACGTCACCCCACCCCTTTTCGACCTACATAGAAATGGGGACAACATACACGTAACTGCCAAAATAAAGGAAACACTTGAGTAAATTAGGGATACAAAGTACATTGAAAGCAGGTGCTTCCACACAGGTGGGGTTCCTGAGTTCAGCTATTAACATCCCATCATGCTTAGGGTCATGTATGAAAATGCCCAGTTGCCAATTATTTTGGCTACCATGGTTAGAAGAAGAGATCTGTGACATTGATAGAGGAGTCTCAAAGGAGCGAATGGGTGGTTTAAAGGGTGTCACCATCTCAGTCACCAAATCTCAACCCAATTGAACACTTATGGGAGATTCTGGAGCAGCGTCTGAGACAGTGTTTTCCACAACAATCAACAAAACACCAAATGATGGAATTTCTCGTGGAAGAATGGCATTGCATCTCTCCAATAGAGGTCCAGACACTTGTATAATCTATGCCAAAGCACATTGAAGCTGTTCTGTCGGCTCGTGGTGGCCCAGTGCTTTGTTGGTGTGTCCTTTATTTTGGCAGTTATCTGTAGGTTTCCTAGGGATCCACTCTGCTAGAAAAGTTTTCAGAAGGTATTACCAGATGAGGGCACCAGCATGTTGACCACCTCTATACGGTCAAAGTAGATCATCACTCCTCCACTGTGGAGAGAACACGCACATCAGTAATATGGTCACGCACATGGACAATTCCCCCCGCCATACAAGCACACAGCCATCACCATGTAACTGTTCACCTGGTTCCACAAGGCACGTTCTTGATCTCATCAGTTTGAAGAGTCGTCTGGAACAGAGAGTTAATTATCAGAACTGATCTGTAGACGTAATAAAGGGCAGCATGATGTGATATCTAGGGTTTGAGGTCAGGGTTTAGGGGTTAACACTAGGAGAGCTGAGAGTGTGTCATACTGACAAAAAATGAATTTACTTTTACATTTTTAAAGTCATATCCACCCCCCATCCTTTACTTTTCCTAAATAAGTCTATATAACACACTGTCGTTGTTGGAATGTTAATCTCACAAACAGAATGTGTTATTCAGTTTTAAGAGGACATGTCATTTCTTTCCCCCCTGCTCTTCATTCACCGCCAGTCACTCACTGGAAGTCAGCCTGATCAGTTAATGGCCCATCGAAAATGCACCTAAAATAATTTCTAAATACAACATTAAATTGACGATAGTATGATGGGTGAGAATATTACAAATTGTTAAATTATATATGAAGAATTAATCTGATGAACAGCCCAGCATGGAATTGACACAGAGGCAGTGAAACGAAACTGAGTGACAAAAAGTTACTTTTGCAAATTCTCCTACAGTCACAAGCAGGTAAGACATTTTTGATGTCTATATAGTATCAGAAAGAGTAGATTCTGCAGTTTCCAAATCACCTATCCTTGCCAAACAACTATTAAAAATGATCCCTTGAGCACTGTTTTAATATATAACTTATGGGCGTGCACTTGCAACACTCAAATAACTAATATATGCTGCATTCTGAAAATATTCAGACCCCTTAACTTTTTCCACATTTTTACAGCCTTATTCTAAAATGGAAGAACATTTCCCCCCCCTCATCTATCTACACACAATACACCATAAAGGCAAATCAAAAACAGGTTTAGAATTTCTTGCAAATTTATTCAAAAGAAATAACACATTTACATAAGTATTCAGACCCTTTACTCAGTACTTTGTTGAAGCACCTTTGGCAACAATTACAGCCTCGAGTCTTCTTGGGTATGACGCTACAAGCTTGGCACCCCTGTATTTGGGGAGTTTCTCCCATTCTTCTCTGCAGATCCTCTCAAGCTCTGGCAGGTTGGATGGGGAGCGTTGCTGCACAGCTATTTTCAGGTCTCTCCAGAGATGTTCGATTGGGTTCAAGTCTGGGCTCTGGCTGGGCCACTCAAGGACATTCAGAGACTTGTCCCAAAGCCACTCCTGTGTTGTCTTGGCTGTGTGCTTAGGGTTGTTGTCCTGTTGGAAGGTGAACCTTCGCCCCAGTCTGAGGTCCTGAGCACTCTGGAGCAGGTTTTCATCAAGGATCTCTGTGTACTTTGCTCCTTTCATCTTTCCCTCGATCCTGACTAGTCTCCCGGTCCCTGCCGCTGAAAAACATCCCCACAGCATGATGCTGCCACCACCATGCTTCACCGTAGGGATGGTGCCAGGTTTCCTCCAGACGTGACACTTGGCATTCAGGCCAAAAAAGTTCAATCTTGGTTTTATCAGACCAGAGAATCTTGTTTCTCATTGTCTGAGTCTTAAGGTGCCTTTTGGCAAACTCCAAGCGGGCTGTTATGTGCCTTTTACTGAGGAGTGGCTTGCGTCTGGCCACTCTACCATAAAGGCCTGATTGGTGGAGTGCTGCAGAGATGGTTGTCCTTCTGGAAGGTTCTCCCTTCTCCACAGAGGAACTCTGGTGGTAGGCCACACAAGCTCACAGAACGGGACCGCCGAGTGCTGAAGCGCGTAGTGCGTAAAAATCGTCTGTCCTCGGTTGCAACACTCACTACCGAATTCAAACCTGCCTCTGGAAGCAACCTCAGCACAATAACTGTTCGTCGGGAGGTTCATGAAATGGGTTTCCATGGCCGAGCAGCCGCTCACAAGCCTAAGATCACCATGCGCAATGCCAAGTGTCGGCTGAAGTGGTGTAAAGCTCACCGCCATTGGACTCTGGAGCAGTGGAAACACGCTTCACCATCTGACAGTCCCATTGACAAATCTGGGTTTGGCGGATGCCAGGAGAACGCTACCTGCCCGAATGCATAGTGCCAACTGTAAAGTTTGGTGGAGGAGGAATAATGGTCTGGGGATGTTTTTCATGGTTCGGGCAAGGCCCCTTAGTTCCAGTGAAGGGAAATCTTAACGCTACAGCAGACAATTACTTTCCAGACGATTCTGTGCTTCCAACTTTTTGGCAACAGTTTGAGGAAGGCCCTTTCCTGTTTCAGCATGACAACGCCATGAAGTGTATTTGTGCCATTCTGTTCTTTCGAAACGCATTTTCTTTAATTCATAATGTTCCTTAAGACCTGCCCTTAACACCCTTAACAAATTAATAATGAATGATCTTTGTGATGGTGTTTATTTAATGGATTTTAACACTGGAATTGTGGTGTTTTAGTCGTTCTTCATTTGTACACATAGGCTACAGTTACATAAACTAATGAAAACGCTATTGTGTTTTAAATATATTCTTTCATATTTTAATGTTACCCAAGACCTTATAAAACACAACCAAAATATTTTTCTTCCGATAGCATATATGAAATGCATTTTTTAGACTATTAGAATGTTGACATTCAAGACGCATCATCGGCCCGAAGGGGGGCTCCAACGAGGCCTTTATAGTAAAAAAAAAAAAGGTACAACAAGTAGTACCTGTACTGATCTGTAGGTGGTAATAAAGGGCATCATAATGTGGTATCCAGGGCCGCTGGGTGTGGTTAGTAAAGCTCCTCCTCTGAAACACAGCGAACAGTGAAATGAACCAATAATATGAATCTACTCTACACAGCATTTCACTACCTGGTAAATGGAGGACGTGGACTCGTAGAGGGTTGGGGGTCAGGGATCATACCTGTAGTAAACAGCTAGGTGTCCCTCCTCTATCTTGTGAATGGAAGAGTGAAACAGGATGGCCATCACTGCTGTTACTGCACCAAGTACTGCCCCCACGTGCGTCATCGTCATCCTCACCAGGACTCACCTACAACACACAAACAGGCTTACAGAGATGGAGAACGGAAATGAGAGAGAGAGCGAGAACAAGAGAGCAAAAGAAAGAGAAATCCGAACTGACAAACACTGTGTAGCCTCATACTGGCCAGCATTCACCTAGACTAGAGAGACGCAAACACACACACTCACCCTCTGTTACAGTCACAATAGCCAAGTATCTCAACGGCGTTGAACGCAGACTTTTTTTTTTTTATGAACCTCAAACTTGCTATGCAGTGGTGTAAAGTACTTAAGTAAAAATACTTTAAAGTAATATTTAAGTAGGTTTTTGGGGTAGCTGTACTTTACTACTTATATTTTTGCCAACTTTCACTTCACTACATTCCTAAAGAAAATATTGTACTTTTTATTCCATTCATTTTCCCTGACACCCAAAAGTAGTCGTTACATTTTGACAGGAAAATGTTCCAATTCACACACTTATCAAGAGAACATCCCTGGTCATCCCTACTGCCTCTGATCTGGCGGACTCACCTAACACAAATGCTTTGTTTGTAAATTATGTCTGAGTGTTGGAGTGTGCCCCTGGCTATCCGTCTGGTTTGCTTAATAAGGAATTTGAAATATTTAATACTTTTACTTTTGATACTTAAGTATATTTTAGCAATTCCACTTACTTTTGATACAAGTATATTTAAAACCCAATACTTTTAGACTTCTACTCAAGTAGTATTTTACTGTGTGACTTTCACTTTTACTTGAGTCATTTTCTATTAAGATATCTTTCTTTTACTGAAGTATGAGAATTGTGTACTTCTTCCACCACACCGTCGCTATGCAGTCGACACCTCAAATTTAAATTCTTACACACTTACTGTGTACCTGCTTGTCCTCTGTTGTTGCGTGCCTTTCTTTGTTTGCTGAAATCCATACTTTTTAATAAAACAATCAAATACCGACTCTTTCCTAGATTCTGTTCCTCTAAGATGGCAACTCAGCGTGAATGTGCATGTGCCACTTGAATCGCCGACTAAGTATGTCTACGTCTCCAAATGCGCATTAAAATGTATGGATTTCAGCAAACAACGAAATGTACAGACCAAATCAAATTTTATTTGCCACATGCGCCGAATACAACAGGTGTAGACATTACAGTGAAATGCTTACTTACAAGCCCTTAACCATGTAAAATGTAAAATAGAAAAAGTGTTAAGTAAAAAATTTTAAGCAAATAACTAAAGAGCAGCAGTAAAATAAAATTACAGTAGGGAGGCTATATACAGGGGGATACCGGTGCAGAGTCAATGTGCGGGGGCACTGGCTAGTCGAGGTAATTGAGGTAATATGTACATGTGGGTAGAGTTAGTGACTATGCATAAATAGTCAGGGTAGCCATGATAACCTGTTCAGAAGTCTTACGGCTTGGGGGTAGAAGCTGTTGAGAAGTCTTTTGGACCTAGACTTGGCGCTCCAGTACCGCTTGCCGTGCGGTAGCAGAGAGAATAGTCTATGACTAGGGTGGCTGGAGTCTTTGACAATTTCTAGGGCCTTATTCTGACACCGCCTGGTATAGATGTCCTGGATGGCAGGAAGCTTGGCCCCAGTGATGTACTGGGCCGTACGCACTACCCTCTGTAGTGCCTTGCAGTCGGAGGCCAAGCAGTTGTGATACCAGGCGGTGATGCAACCAGTCAGGATGATCTCGATGGTGCAGCTGTATAACTTTTTGAGGACCTGAGGACCCATGCCAAATCTTTCAGTCTCCTGAAGGGGAATAGGCTTTGTCGTTCCCTCTTCACAACTGTCTTGGTGTGTTTGGACCATGATGGTTCGTTGGTGATGTGGACACCAAGGAACTTGAAGCTCTCAACCTGTTCCACTACAGCCCCGTCGATGAGAATGGGGGCACAATCATCTCATTTGTCTTGATCACGTTGCGGGAGAGGTTGTTATCCTGGCACCACACGGCCAGGTCTCTGACCTCCTCCCTATAAGCTGTCTCATCATTGTCGGTGATCAGGCCTACCACTGTTATGTCGTCAGCAAACTTAATGGTGTTGGAGTCGTGCCTGGCCATGCAGCCATAGGTGAACAGGGAGTACAATAGGGGATTGAGCATGCACCACTGAGGGGCCCCCGTGTTGAGGATCAGTGAGGCAGATGTGTTGTTACCTACCCTTACCACCTGGGGGCGGCCCGTCAGGAAGTCCAGGATACAGTTGCAGAGGGAGGTGTTTAGTCCCAGGATCCTTAGCTTAGTGATGAGCTTTGAGGGCACTATGGTGTTGAACGCTGAGCTGTAGTCAATGAAGAGTATTCTCACATAGGTGTTCCTCTTGTCCAGGTGGGAAAGGGCAGTGTGGAGTGCAATAGAGATTGCATCATCTGTGGATCTGTTGGGGCGGTATGCAAATTGGAGTGGGTCTAGGGTTTCTGGGATAATGGTGTTGATGTGAGCCATGACCAGCCTATCAAAGCACTTCATGGCTACAGACGTGAGTGCTACGGGTCGGTAGTCATTTAGGCACGTTGTCTTAGTGTCCTTCGGCACAGGGACTATGGTGGTCTGCTTGAAACATGTTGGTATTACAGACTCAGTCAGGGACATGTTGAAAATGTCAGTGAAGACACTTGCCAGTTGGTCAGCACATGCTCTGAGTACACGTCCTGGTAATCCATCTGGCCCTGCGGCCTTGTGAATGTTGACCTGCTTAAAAGTCTTACTCACATCGGCTACGGAGAGCGTGATCACATAGTCATCCGGAACAGCTGGTGCTCTCATGCATGCTTCAGTGTGGCTTGCCTCGAAGCGAGCATAGAAGTGTTTAGCTCGTCTGGTAGGCTTGTGGCACTGGGCAGCTCAAGGCTGTGCTTCCCTTTGTAGTCTGTAATAGTTTTTAAGCCCTGCCACATCCGACGAGCATCAGAGCCGGTGTAGTACGATTCAATCTTAGTCCTGTATTGACTCTGACTGTTTCATCGGAGGGCATAGCGGGATTTATTATAAGCGTCCGGGTTAGAGTCCCTCTCCTTGAAAGCGGCAGCTCTACCCTTTAGCTCAGTGCGGATGTTAACTGTAATCCATGGCTTCTGGTTGGGGTATGTACGTACAGTCACTGTGGGGACGACGTCATCGATGCACTTATTGATAAAGGTAGTGAATGATGTGGTGTACTCCTCAATGCTATCTGAAGAATCCCGGAACATATTCCAGTCTGTGCTAGCAAAACAGTCCTGTAGCTTAGCATCTGCGTCATCTGACCACTTTTTTACAGAGTCACTGGTGCTTTCTGCTTTAGTTTTTGCTTATAAGCAGGAATCAGGAGGATAGAGTTATGGTCAGATTTGCCAAATGAAGGGCGAGGGAGAGCTTTGTATGCGTCTCTGTGTGTGGAGTAAAGATGGTTTAGAGTTTTTTTCCCTCTGGTTGCAGCTGGTAGAAATTAGGTAGAACGGATTTAAGTTTCCCTGCATTAAAGTCCCCGGCCACTAGGAGCGCTGCCTCTAGATGAGCGTTTTCCTGTCTACTTATGGCCTTATACAGCTCATTGAGTGCAATCTTAATGCCAGCATTGGTTTGTGGTGGTAGATAGACAGCTACAAAAAATATAGATAAAAAGTATCTTGGTAAATAGTGTGGTCTACAGCTTATCATGAGATACTCTACCTCAGGCGAGCAAAACCTCGAGACTTTCTTAGTATTAGATTTTATGCACCAGATGTTGTTTACAAATTTACACAGACTGCCACCCCTTGTATAACCAGAGTCAGCCGTTCTATCCTGCTGATGTAGCGTACAGTGAGGAAAAAAGTATTTGATCCCCTGCTGAATTTGTACATTTGCCCACTGACAAAGAAATGATCAGTCTATAATTTTAATGGTAGGTTTATTTGAACAGTGAGAGACAGAATAATAACAAAAAAATCCAGAAAAACGCATGTCAAAAATGTTATAAATGTATTTGCATTTTAATGAGGGAAATAAGTATTTGACCCCCCTCCCAATCAGAAAGATTTCTGGCTCCTAGGTGTCTTTTATACAGGTAACGAGCTGAGATTAGGAGCACACTCTTAAAGGGAGTGCTCCTATTCTCAGCTTGTTACCTGTATAAAATACACCTGTCCACAGAAGCAAATAAATCAGATTCCACCATGGCCAAGACCAAAGAGCTCTCCAAGGATGTCAGGGACAAGATTGTAGACCTACACAAGGCTGGAATGGGCTACAAGACCATCGCCAAGCAGCTTGGTGAGAAGGTGACAACAGTTGGTGCAATTATTTGCAAATGGAAGAAACACAAAATAACTGTCAATCTCCCTCGGCCTGGGGCTCCATGCAAGATCTCACCTCGTGGAGTTGCAATGATGTCACGCCCTGGCCTTGAGAGACCGGTTTTCTTTAGTTGGTTTGGTCAGGCTGTGTATTTCTATGTGTACATTCTATGTTTGTAGATCTATGTTGGCCGGGTGTGGTTCCCAATCAGAGGCAGCTGTCGATCGTTGTCTCTGATTGGGGTTCATACTTAGGCAGCCATTTTGCCTACCTATGTTGTGGGATCTTGACTCTTGTTTGGCTTGTTTGTGTGTAGCTTCACGTTACGTTGCTTTTGTTGTTTTGTCGTGTGTTTACTTAGTTAATAAACGTATGCATTCCACGCTGCACCTTGGTCCAATCCTGTATTCAACGAACGTGACAGAAGATCCCACCACCAACGGACCAAGCAGCGTGCCCAGGAGGAGCAAACACCCTAGACACAGCGGGAAGCAACGTTGGTAGATGTCCTCCTCGGTTGTGGGAAAATTACCGAGGAGGAAGCCGTCCGTTACGGTGAGGTAATGGAGGAGGGCTGAAGCCTGAGAGACAGCCCCAAGAAAAAAAATTTGGGGGGGCACACGTGGTGGTCGACAAAGCAGCAGGAGGCCGTGAAAGGGCTGACTGTGGAGGAGGAGGACGCTATTGTAGAGATCCTCCAAGACCTGCGGATCAGCAGTATGAGAGAGGAGGCCACCACATTACGGGGGCTGTTAG